TCTTCAGAATATGGAGTTCTGAAAGTTCTTCGAGGTGCCTTGGTGATAATGAAAGGAATCAAGCATAGTGGCCTGTATGAGCTTCAAGGTGAGACAGTGACGGAATTTGCTGCGGAGACGTCAGATGCATCAGTTCGAGAGTCTGAATTGTGGCATATGCGTTTGGGGCACATTAGCGAGAGAAGCCTGAAGGCTCTAAGTGAAAGAAATTTGCTATGTGGTTATGTGGCTAACGAACTGAATGTATACAGGTGCTGTGATTTAGATCAACGGCGGAAAGTGCAGTTCAGTACGGTTGTTAGAGAAATCACGGATATTGCAGAATTAATTCACTTGGATGTTCGCAGGTTGTCGCGATTTCCTTCGAGGAAGAATGCCAGATTTATGCTAACAGTTGTTGATGACTACTCGAGGAAGACTTGGGTGTTTGTGCTAAGGCACAAGTTTGATGCTGTTGTCAGGATCAGGCAGTTAAAAGCTTTGATCGAAAAGGAGACTGGTAAAACGATCAAGCAGGTGCGGACTGACAGTAGTATGGAGTTTTGCTCGAAGCTGTTAAACGAATTCTGCATGAAGGAAGGCATAGTGAAACACCGCACTAGTGCCAATGAATCACAACATGTTGCAGAGTTGATGAGCAGAACATTACTAGAGACGGCCCATAAAATGCTCTCTAGTGCTGGTATGGCTAGGAAATTCCTGGCGGATGTGCTTAGTACGGCGAGCTACCTGAAGAATAGATCTCCATCGACTGCGATTGAATGTCGGACTCCCGAAGAAGTGTGGTCAGGTAACGTTGCTAATTATTCTGTTCTTAGAATATTTGGTTGTCCATGTTATGTTCGAGTTAGTGATGGTAAGCTCGATGGAAGGACAAGAAAGTGCATGTTCCTAGGTTATGCACAAGGTGAACGGAGCTATAAGTTGTGGTGCCCGGAATTAAATTCACCTGTTATCAGCAGAGAAGTTACATTTGACGAGTCTCCAGTACTTCTGGCTAGGAGTGTTAATAGCAGTGTTTATACGGATCTGGACAGTGTTCAGCTTGAGGTGGAGTTGCAACCAGAAACTCCTGAGGTAGCGGGTACTAACGAAATAATCGACACGGATGGTGCTTATAGCGAGGTGGAGCCTATTGAGCCAACGATTGCTTTAACTGCTGAAATTGACAAGGTGCGTATTCGTTCTCCTGATAGATATGGATGCAACGATGGTTTTGCTTTATCTGCGGTTAAGGAGATTGTGTCGGAAAATCCTTGTGAAGCGGTTAAAGGTGCATGTGGAGTTGGTGTTCTGATGAGGTCCACGGCTATGGCAAAGTTCAAGCGAGGCTTGGACTTGAAAGACGTTTGTGGCGGTTGAGCCCATTGGGGATGTGGGAGAGTAGTAGCGGAATTCGGATTCTATTGAAGCGATTGTTACTTGGCTCAAACGTCGAGCCAAGGTGGAGATTGTTGAAAATATGTCTCGAGTTTGAGCCCAAAGCGAAATCTAAATATTCTGAATTGGATATTTTGCGGATCTCCGAAACCGAGCAAAAAGGAAATATTTGAAATTCACTTTCCTAATGCACGTTGGAGTCCTTGTTCTCAAACTAGAAAGTCCACATGAATTTATGTTGAACTTTGACTCGGTCAATGTGTTAGAAGAAAGAAAGAATATTATACTTTCCTAATTCTTGTGGAATTCATGGCCAGAAGTGGAAAGAAGAAATAAAATAAAAAGAAAAGAAAAGCATGGCTGGATTTGTTTCCTGATCCTAATCCGCGTGGACTTCGTTTGTTGACCAACATGGGACTTCCTGATATATATGTTCATGGTCAGGAGATGCTTTGAAGTGAAGAAGAAGTCTTGATGCGCCATTGTTGATAAAGAAGTCTTGAAGCGCCGCTGCTTGCGAGTGCTTGGCAGTTGATTTTGTTCGTGGAATTACACCAAGAACTCAAGTGTTCGTAGCGATTAAATCTTGTGTTAAGATTTGCGTATAATTCTTTTGCGAGATTGAGAGATTATTTCGTGAGGAATTGTGGGGCTAAACACTGCGTGAGTTATTGGGTGTAATTGGGGCTTGGGAAACACTTAGAGTGTTTGAGTGACTCGAGTGTGGTTGTAATCTCCGTTGTATCGCTTGATCTATAGTGAATTCCGTATTGTTGTCCCCGTGGACGTAGGTCACTACGACCGAACCACGTAAATCTGGTGTCCGATTTATTTTCTTATTCTGTCAATTTTATTGTTCGATCGCTTGGCTTCCGCAACACGTCCAATCATACTTTTACAGCAGCTCTGGTTCAGTTTTCTGATGCATCGCAATATCTCTGGCAGAGAAATGCTGATGGAGTATTCAAAGCATGGGATGACTGTGCAGAAAACGACACGTGATCATGTGCCACTTCTATCGGCCATGCCCACAGCCCGAGCTGACCCTGGGTGTGACAAAGCATTCAGACAATGACTTCCTCACAATTCTCCTCCAAGATCAAATTGGAGGACTTCAAGTGCTTCATGAAACCAGTGGATCAACGTTCCTCCAAGACCTGGAGCTCTAGTGACCAACATCGGAGATCTTTTGCAGGTAAGAAGCTTTGGCCAGATATCATTGTTCATCTATGAACTTTTCTGAAAACATGTTTTGATTGGACAACACACTGCGATCCTCTTCTCGCCCTTATTACTGTACTTTCTCGTATGCCAAGTTAGTTGAAGAGCTCTTGAGAATTCAGGAATTAAATTACCATGGCATCTTCCCTGTAGCAATAGCATTATGTCTTCACAGTCTGCACTTTTCTTTGATAAGAGAAATCTGCGTTTACCATTCCCATATACCTCATGCATCAAGTATCCGAACAGAGCTATTTGACTCATCCAAACTTGATTCCAACTTTGTTAAATCATGCTAGCCTCATTTTGAAAGGTTCAAAATTGTCTGAATGAGACAGATGTATGTTGAAAACAGTGTTTTTTTAACATAAGGGATTAATGTCGGTTCTAGATATTCTGCAATTTTCGTATTTATCAACATTAAAATTAAAATCACACTAGTACATAGAAATTATGTTCCTTTGTTTCTGACCTGAGAACCGACAGATCGAGAACGGTTCACTAATTGTTGCATTCGGAGCTCATAACAAATCATCATTTTAAGAGTGACGAGCACCGAGTCTGGCAAACAAGAGAGGACCAAGAGTGTCGGTGGCATGCTTCTTCGGCGACACTCCTCGGCCATCTTCAAGGCTATATGGACCCATCAAGGAATTAACATCAGCAGACAACCCACCAATGTACAAGGAGACTACGTTTCCAAACTACATTGCCCATTACATTTCCAAAGGCCTAGATGGAGCTTCCGTACTTCCTGATTTCAAGTTGTAGACCGTGTACATTATTAATGTGGTCTTATTGATGTCTGTATTTGAAGATAAAAGTCTGTCCAAATGTTCATCTATGTAAAACTACCACAGAGCAGGAATCCCTTTTTTCAGTGGTCGGTCACTTAAGCCTATATCGCTTCAATTGATAGAACTATGAGCACCAACACAACTCTCGAAAACAAAGATCATTTTCTAAACAAAAGCAGAACCAAGGAGAGAACACAAAATAAAGTGAGAGGAAGATTCACACATACCCCTCCAAAATCGAAAGAAAGATGCTATCTTTAGGTGAAACAGTGTTGGATACCCATATGACAGTTAAAACACTAATCTACCGTGAGAAAAAAATTGCGCTTTCAAGAACATTTTTGTTTGGTTTAGCTTTGGATTTCGACTATGTACATTGGCGGCAATGATGAAAAGTGGAACTCTTGTCAGCCTTCAACTCACTGAAATACAATAACCAGAATCAACCGCAAGGCAAAAATTTCATGTACACTCAGATTTTCTATGAAACAGTAGGTTTCCATTACGAACGAGACGATATTTGAAACCCAATGGATCTAATCGAGTCAGCATCACATTAAGATGACGCAACGATTAATCCAAGGGCCAAGATGACATCAAATCGTCATGTCATATATCCATGGTCAACTCTGTCTTAGAAGATCTTTTTTTTATTTATCATATACTGCAAAACTTGTGTACTAGCCGCCCGGTCCTCCAAAGAATCAGCCATCATTAAACAGCACTATCATTTTCTAAGCAAGTGGTGGCTCATGAGCTAATGACTTTCTCCTTCCATTTTTATGAACCGCTTAATTCTAAAGTCAAACGAAACATCGCAATGGATGTCATTGTTCTCTTCTCTTCTCTTAATCAATCAGCTAAAAAGAAGCTGCTCATCATATAATGCAATGCAATGTCTCCATAGCACTCGATTCATAATCCAAATGTCTCCATAACATTCAATTCATAATCCAAACACATCCCCAACAAATATACATTCACAGTGAAAATTGAATTGCAGTAGAGAGAGAGAGAGAGAGAGAGAGAGAGAGAGAGAGAGAGAGAGAGGAACAGTTCCTACCATCGATTTGGCCTTCGACTCCGGTGAGCAGAGCCACAACAGAGCAAGCGACGACTCGAAAGCCAGCGTCAAAGGCCTCCTCGACGCCGGGATTACCGAAATCCCCAGAATTTCTTCATCCGACCTCACGAGACATCCGAAGGCAGCTCCGAATCGAGTGGCGGATCCGAGAATCTCAGCTTCCCGACCATCAATCTCGGCGGGATCGACCGCGACCCGGCCAAGGGGAAGGAGGCGATCGAGAGGATGCGACGCGCGTCGGAGACGCCGGGGTCCTTCCAGGTGGTGGTAAAATCAGGGAGTTCCGGCGGCCGCGATGGAGGAGATGAAGAAGGAGGGAGTGAGGAGGTTCTTCTCTACGAGCAAGACGGTGAGGCAAAGGTGGTGTTCTACACGCGCGACATAAGGAGGAAGGTGGTGGTACAAACAGAAATTTCGACCTGTATAGTACACAGCGTCGGTGGCGAAATGGGTAGTGACTAGTGAAGAGAAATTAGTTAAGTAATAAAGAAGGTGTGATAGATAGTCTTTTCTCGTACCTCTCTACTGAGCTCATGGTTACAATCAATCCTCCCAATCGATGATCCGAATGTGCGCAATCTTTTCCAATTCTTCATGGCCATCTGTTAGGTACCTCTCTTTCAGAGCTGGACAATCACAGATTCTCAATTCCTTCAAGCGTGTGAGGTTGCGCATCCCTAATGGCAAACGTTCTAATTTTGGACAGTCAGATAATACCAGCTTTTCAAGCAAAGAGAAATTTTCAATCCATTCCAGCAAACTCTCTAGATTCCGACAGTCAGAAATCTCGAGAGATTGTAAAGTCGTGACATGTTGAATCCCCTTGGGTAATGCCACCAAATTCTCAAGAAAGTTGAGTTTAAGAACATGAAGTTTTGTAAGGAATCGCCATTGGGTGCCATGCTCGTCTTCTTGGCACAATAAATCGAGTCCTCCACAACTAAAAATGTTGAGTTTCTGGAGCAAGGAAAGGTTCTGCATGCCACGAGAGAGACACCACCCGTTGCAAAAGTAGAGGTTCATGGACTTGAGATTACTTGGTAATCGGAGTAGAGTCTCGAGCATCGAGGGCTCCATATCACTACCATTAAGAACTAGACACATTAGTTTAGAGAAAGGGATGAATGTGGATCCCACTGTTGCTTCTGATGGGCAATTTGGATTGACCATCATTTGTTGTTGCAATATTTTCGTGTTATCTGTGAGCAACTGTTCCACCTGGGGGAATGGTGGCATGAAATTCAAGTGGGGACAGCACACTATTTTCACATACCAAAGTTTTGGGAAGGATGACAATGAATTGTCTGATGGATGCTTTTGATATGCTCCCATTACTTGCCTTCTTCCCCACCATCCTTTCAGGTTGCTGCACATGAAGAGGGACAGTTTCTCAAGAGATTGGAAGAAGGGGCGTGTAGTATCAGATTGTTCTGGGTCACTTGTTTGTTGAAGGAACTCCAATGCACCCAAACCCCATAGAATCAACGTCCTTAGGGAAGGGAGTTCACTCAGGGATGGTAGGTGACTCAGTGACTTACACAATTTAATTGAGAGGAACCTAAGGTTGACCAATTTCCTCAAATCTCTTGGAAATGTTTTAAGGTTCTCACACCTAATGAGTTCAAGGATTTGCAAGCTCACCAAATCCGTGATTGAATCCGGCAAACTCTGGATAGATTTGTTTACAGAAATATTAAGAAACCTTAAGTGCTTCAACTTTCCAAAGGAGGAAGGAGGGAGAGGAATATCCGTATTACCCAAACCCAACGCTTGACAATGTTTACACCCGAAAAAATCTTTGGGAGAGTTGAGTACAAAGGATTCACCTCCCAAATAGAGAAACGTCCGCAATTTGGATGTTTTGAGCAGGGATACCATTTTCTCTTCAGAGAAAATCTCCGAAATAATCGATGCATGTCTAATTCCTCTATCATTATCTCCTCCTTTAAAATTAACAATATTGCATTACTTTTTGGGCAAGATCATGCATGAGATCATGCATCGTGAAAGTTAGGACCTCGCCATCGTCTTCTTTGCTTGCAGCATCGAGGAATGACCTACACAGTAGTTCTGACAAGTAATTGTCCGTCTTCAAGGTTTTCCTCCCCATTGAGTGACTCAATAAAGCCTTGTGCCATCTAAAGATGTATCATCATCTCTTTATCGTAGACATAGTCTTTCGGAAACAATGAGCAATATGCAAAATAATGTTTTAAGCACGACGGGAGACGATCGTAACTGAACTTGAGGACTTGCATAATTCCATGATCAACCTCATCAATTTCTGGTATTTCTGGAAGTTCACGCACTTTGTAACGGAGCCATTCATCTTTATTTTTGCCGTACGAAAGGCCTCCTATTGTTTTAATGGCAAGGGGAACGCCGGCGCATTTTTTAACTATATCTCGACCTGTCTCCTCCAGTTCTGGGTTTGATGATTCTACCCCATCTCCAAAAGCCATTTTCCTGAATAAGTTCCATGACTTATCTTCGGATAAGCCATTTAGAACATGGATAACTGATTTCGCATCGGTGACCTTTGCAACTTTGTGGCTACGAGTGGTTACAAGTATCTTGCTTCCCCGTAAACCACCCTCTAGCCAATCTCCAAGCTTCAACCATTTATCTAGATCTTCATTCCACAAGTCATCCAAAACAAGCAAGTATTTCAACCTGCCTAGAATCTCATGAAGAAGACTTGGCAATTGGTCTATAGGCTTATTCTCAAGATCTTGTAATAACCTTTTCATCTCATCATCATGCTCTTGACAGTTGTCTTTCGCTGATTTAAGAATTTCTTTGATAATCACATTCACGTTAAAGACATCAGATACACAAACCCACATCTTAAGCCCAAAATGTTCTTTTACCTCCCCATCGTTGTACACTAGTCGTGCAAGTGCGGTTTTTCCAAGACCTCCTTTACCAACGATGGCAACAAATGACACACTCTGGCTAGAGGAGGAATCAAACAAAAGTTGTTTGATCTTTTTTTTGTCCTCTTCCCTACCAATTATTTTTTCATCAGGTGAGGGAACTTCAGGTTTCTTTCCTCTCCTGATTGTTTCCTCGCTCAGATGCTGCTCTAAATTTGATAACTCCTTATCACTCTTAATCCGATCTAGTTCCTTCCTAAATTCCCGAATCTTATTAGCCACTCTGAGGCGGTGTGCAAGCTGATTCGATTTATAGAAGAAAACGCATACCGCTTTCAACATCTTGTTGCTGGAAGTGACCTTCCGCCTCAGATTTTCGGTTGCAACATCATCGAACATGACCTTCCGCCTCAGATTTTCGGTTGCGACATCATCGAACAAGTCCTGTACGTCGTACAGCACATCCTTGAGCCTCCTGAGCCAGAGCTTGACCTGGTTGTCGTGCCATTGCTTCTTCTCGGCATCCAAAAGCACAGCTTGGATGGTCTGGACGGTGTCCTGAAGGCTTTTGAGCTCGTCCTTGGCACCGCAGAGCAACTGGATCTTCTGAGAAGCGAAGAGCTTCCAGGTTTCGCGATTTCGGAGGAGATGCTTTTCAGTATGGCGGTGGCAAGGCTGAAGAGCACTGCTTCCGCCATTTCCAAAAGGCAAAAGCAGGGGTTGAGGAGTGTTTGAGAGGAGATTGCAGAGGTGATGCTTTTGTTGGGAGACGATGGTTTGGTGGTGCCTCGTGATTAACTTCATGCAATAATATATAGCAAGGCCAAAGGCAGCTCCATCTTACTTCATGCTCAGTCGCTCCACCAGATGATAACAGAGAAAAAGACGCGTGGGGTCCACAAAACAGGGACTAAAGAAAGAAAGAAGGAAAGACCAAAAACCTATGAGTAAAAAAGGCAGGTTGCCTCTGCATGTCTAGAGAAAATTTTCGTACTTTTTCGTTTCTCATTTTCATCTGAACATGAAAATAGTATTGAAAAAGCCATTTGGTCCCGCATTGAGAGCAGTTTCCAAACGAAAACCCAAATGCGCTCAAATAACTTTATTGGAAATGGTTAGGCTCAATTCCAAAAAAAAGCACGAATTTTAGGTCTTGTCCCAAATTTGGCCCGAACTTTATTTTGTCTAAAAAAAAATCACCAACTTTCAACCGTGTCCCAAATCTGGCCTCCGTTAACTCTCCATCCACTCTCACCGTTAGTCATCCGACGTGGCTTTTCCACATCAGCAATTAAGGCACAAATACACCACGACAGCAATAAAAGCAGATGTCCACCTGGGCTGCGCTTTCTCTTCTTCATCTCCTTCGCACGATTTTCTCTTTAGGGTTTTCTTTCTTCTTTCTTCTTTCTTCATCCGATACACGAGCGAGAGGCTTTGATTCGTCCGAAGATCTCGCGCGCTCTCCCTCGCGCGCTCATCCTCTCACATGAAGTCGCTCGCTCTCACGCTCGGCCGTTTGGAGACTTGTTTCCGTCTGGAATTTTGAAGATCTCGCACATGTTCGGTCAAGATCAAACGAGCAAAATCTCGCGCACTTGGTCGCTCAGAGACATCAACTTGTCTGAAGAGCAAGCGAGCGAGCGCTCGCTCGCTCGCTCATCCTCTCACACGGAGTCGCTCGCTCTCATGCTCGGCAGTTTAGAGACTTGTTTCCATCTGGAATTTTGAAGATTTCGCGCACATTTGGTCAAGATCAAGTGTGCAAAATCTCGCGCGCTTGGTTGCTCAGATACATCAACTTGTCTGAAGAGCAAGCGAGCGAAGATCTCGTGCGCTCGCTCGCTCGCTCATCGTCTCACACGGAGACGCTCACTCTTGCACGTACTCGCGCTTGTTCGCTCGAAGGATGCTCGCTTAAGGGTCGAAGAGGACAGAGTGTTGAAGTCATTAAACATAAGGTATTCTTCTTCTTCTTTCTCCCATGCATTTGGACATATTAAATTACGATCACCATGTGCTTAATGGTTTGTCTAGTAGTGATTTATCTCATAAAAACTGAAGTAAATGCTACATCCGAGTGTTTAGAGGAAGTGTTAAATTTAAGTCTTCCCTCTAGTGAGGTGAGATGATTCTCATGGGAAAATTCAGTAGCTTTAGTTCTATAGATAGAGCCATTAGATCAATTAACAAGCTGTTTACAATGTCAGAAGTTGAGTTGAAAGACTGCGTTCAAGCGAGATATTGAAAAGGAATTCTTCTTCTTTTTCCTCCTAATCTATTGGAAGGCATTGAACTGAAGGATTAGTTCAGAAGGTTATGTATTTCAAATGTGTTCTCTAGCTATGGGTTGTCACGTGTTTAGATATTAGGAGCCAGAACTTATTTTTTCTTTATAGTTTCTGATCAATAAGCTGTTGTTTTGTGAAACTCTTTTCCTAATGTGAAGTGTGTCATAACTGCTTATTATGCCATACAATTACTAAAGCTATTGTTGTCTTACTAGGCATTTAATTAGTGCGATGAGTTCAACATTAAACTCCAAATGTCCAATTTTTTATTCTATTTTGTTTATAGGATTGGGCCGATTGGGGTTCCAGGTCACCATCGTTTTGCTAGTGGAAAATTGAAGTATTGTCGATTGAATAAGTAACAATGGTGAGTTCATTCAATTGTTGGCCTTTTATTTTTAAATATTGTTTTTAGTTTCCAGTGTATGACTTAGTGTGTTTTTTCACAGAATGAAAGTGATAGTGACGATGGTTCATTAGACTTCTGTGATGATGAAATAAATATATCAGATGACGAAGAGATTAGAACAAGGGAGATGAGGAAAGATTTTAGGGAAGCAATAATTGAGGAGGTAGATGATGGTGGGGACCTAGCTGAAGGTTCCATCGATATAAGAATGGAGGAGGAGTTTGGTGTTATTCCACATGAAGGTGGGGATGATGATGAAGATGCAATATCGGATGATGAACCTCTAAGTGGTCCCGATATTGATAATTTGAAGAAGTTAGTGGCACAACTGGACGAATTGTTAATAGGTATGATCCTATGTGTGACCATAACGAGAATGTGTTTAGTCTAGGTATGAGATTTGAATCTCGTGAACAGTTCAAGATAGCTGTGCAAAAATATGCGGTAATTAATGGATTTAACATTTTTTGGCAAATGAGTCAAAAGAAAAGAATGGAAGCAAAGTGTGTGAGTGGCTGTGGTTGGAGGTTGTATGGCAGTTGGGTTCAAAATGAGAAAACTTTTGTAATAAAAAGAGTTGGAAATCCACGTAACTGCAATAGAAGCCTTACAAATAGGCAAGCCACTTCTACATGGCTTGCTCGTGAGTACATGCCTAAGATTAGAGCCAGACTCACTTATTCGGCTACCGAAATGCAAACGGATGCAAGAGAAAGATTTGCCTTGACCCTTGATAAAAAAAAATGTTACCGAGCCATATGGAGAGCTCTTAGTTGTATAAGGGGGCCGATAGGGAAGCAATATGATATGCTAAGATCTTATTTGGAGGAGCTCAAGAGAGTTAGTAAAAATGGAAGATTTGAGATGGAGGTTAACCCAGAAACCAAAGTATTTGAGAGGTTTTATGTGGGCTTTGATGAGTTGAAAATGGGCTTTTTAGCAGGATGTAGGCGTGTGATAGGCTTGGATGGGTGCTTCCTTAAGACTGGATTGAAAGGTATGTTGTTATGTGCCGTTGGACGAGATGGAAACAATCAAATGTTTCCAATAGCTTGGGCAGTTGTGGAAGTTGAGTTTGAGGCATCGTGGACTTGGTTTCTCGCTCGGTTATTTATTGACTTGAATGTGGACACAGGCGAAGGCTGGACTTTTATCAGTGATCAACAAAAGGTAATATGTCACATTTGTCTTCATTGGCTATTACACTATATTGGTACAATCATTGTTGTGACCTGTTTGTTTTTCATTGGTTTAGTTTGGTTGTAGGGACTAATGAATGCAATTTCATGGCTATCTCCACAAGCAGAGCATCGAAATTGTGCAAGACATATATATGCTAATTGGAAAAAATTACACAAAGGGGATGCTTTGAAGAATCTCTTCTGGAGGGCTGTGAGGTGTACATTTGAAGCTGATTTTGACCTGGTAATGGCAGATTTGAAGATGGAGTGTCCTAAAGGTTATGAAGACTTCATGAGGCAGGGCCCTAAGCACTTCTGCAGGGCTTTCATTAAGACAGGTACCAAGTGTGATGCGGTTGAAAATAATTTAAGTGAGACCTTTAATGGATACATTTGCATACCGAGAGCAAAACCCATTCTTGAGATGCTTGAAGAAATACGAGCTATGTTGATGGAGAGAATGACAGAGAGAAGCCAGTTAATGGTTGATCAAATGGATCCAATTTGTCCAAGGATTAGAATGAAGTTGGAGAAGACTAAACTTGAGTTCGGGTATTGTTTTGCTAGAGCGTCTTTGGGAAATAAATTTGAGGTTGAAGGGGATGGCAATAGATTTGTGGTTGACTTGGCTGGGAAGACTTGTGCTTGTAGGGAATGGGATATCTCTGGTATACCATGTAGACATGCCATATGTTGCATTGCTTTCATGAAATTAGACATCAATGATTATGTTGATGATTGCTTTAAGAAAGAAGCTTATGAAAAATGTTATCAATTTCCCTTCCCGGTCATGAATGGAGAAAAAATGTGGCTCAAAGTCAATGGTGAGCCAATCAAACCCCCACCTTACAGAAGGAAAAGGGGTAGAGAGAAGAAAAATAGAATCAAGGATAAGGATGAGCGAAGTAGAGACGGTAAGAAATTGACGAAAGTTGGAGTTCAAATGCGATGTTCAAATTGTCGATAAGATTTTTGTTGGGTTATCACAAATGATATCATTGGTATTTCTTGTGTTTTTTCACATGTAGGCAAGAAGAGGAAGACCAAAGAAAACTGATGGGGCTAGTGGTGCGCAAGCTAGTTCACAAGCTAATAGATCATCTAATGGGGACTCCACTATCATTAGGAAGGAGAGAGCACAGGCTAGTGCTTTATCAAGCATAATTTATTTTCATACCACGTGTATATTGTGATTAATGTTTGATACTCATTTTGTTTCTTTAGGCAAGACAAGGATATGGACTTTTCATATCTGAAGCTACCGGGAATTCCTATTTAAGGGTAATCTATGTATAATGTTTTATATGTGTGTCAAAAAGAAAAGCTAAGTTCGTATGTTTATTTTTTTTTATTGCAGATGCCGGGTAGTGATAGAGTTATTGACTTTGGAGGTCCATCCATTTCCAAGGGACAAACAAGAGCAAGGAATGTTGTTGAAGTTTCACTAGGCCAATCTTCTACTGATATCTCAGAACCTCCATGTACTCAAGAATCTAGAATTGGTGGTTAACTGTGAAATTATGTACCCGAAAATGCTTGTGCAGTGCCTTCTACTAGATGTTGAGTTGTAGACTGAAAAGTGCTAGTTTTTTGTTGTTTGTAAGTAGATTTGGCTATGCATTATGTGTTTGGGAATTTGGCGATATCATTTTGTATATGTGATGTTTTGGCTATGCACTATGTGTTCGGCTGGTTTCGAAAGCTTGCCAAGAAATGAGGCAGAACTTGGAATGTTTGGATTTTGCAAATTTAGATTTTGTAACATGTAGGTAGCGTATATAGAAAGAGTTTATTTTCAGGAACTTGTAGAAGGTTATAGCATGATATTTTGGGATATATATTTTGTTCACAGGTAGATTCCATAAAAGAAGGTGGCATTAAAGAGGAACTTCCTTTCACAAAACAGCAGCATTTGCTTTCATCCAAATCTGCATAATCCTTATCACTTTAAAATAAAAATGAAATGGGATAGCATTCGCCTTCCTGATCATGACCCCAGAGAGAGAGAGAGAGAGAGAGAGAGATGGGTCATATAAAGTCTTGAGGTGGTGGATGCAGTTTCAAATTAGTGAACCAAGCTTTGTAAGACCAATGCCTATTGCCTACAATTACTCCATCCTTGTATGCCGACACTGCCAGCTTCTTTCTTAGTCATTTGATATTTCTAAACAAAAGGTGTTGTGTAATGCTAAAACGATTGATTTTCCTATGAAATTTCTATGTCTTAGCAAGACTCCGCGATACAAGGTTTTGATGCAAATGTAAAACAAGATTGTTTCTTTAGATCGGTCCGTTTTCAGGTAATTGACAATATCAAGTATCTGAAATGGTTCTATCCATGCATTTGTAACTCTGGCCTGAATTTTGGTTGATAGGGCCCGTTCTTGTATGCCTGCAAGTCACATGTCTTAGCCATGTACTGCATAAACTGTTGCAGATGGAACCACATTTGAGGAAAAAAAAAAACTCAAAACTCTTGCTGCGACTCTATCGTCTTCAAGTTCAGAACTTGTTGAAACCCAATTAATTTTTTTTCTCCTTTTCCCCTTTCTTTCGGTGCAAAACACAAGCCCAGTTTGCGAGACATACCTATTCGCTTCTAACTTAATAACATAATCCAATGACCAAAATGTCAAAGCAACAAAGGCAATAAAGAACCATCCAGGAGATTCAGAGCCCTTTATGCAAGAACAAACTCAAACAGAGACAACGATGCAACTCCTGCAGAAAATGCTGTGATCCATTTAACCGACTTCGTTCAAGCTGTGACATATCTCGGCTCACCCCTCCACATAAGCCCAATAAACGAATATTATTCGCCAATGTAAAATGAATCACCTAGCATATTCTCCAAACTGTCAGGAACATAACCTAAATTAGAGAATTTACAAACATCCTAACCTGATCGAGGTGGCAGCTTTGTTACATTAAATGGGTGACTATTTCAATTTAAACACTTCTAAATCCTCTACTCTACTCAAACAATTAGCTTGATGCCATTAATATGAGGCCTTGATCTGATGTTAGCAACAGCTCTTCCCAATCAGCAACCCAATAACAACCATTATGTTCACTTTGGTGCATCATTAGCAACTGGAGATACTGGTTCTTCCCGACATAAACATTATCAGATGGAAACTCCAGCAGCTGAGTTTAATCTAACACATCCTCTCTTTCAAATGAATGCATTAAGTCTATCACAAATAGGCTTCACATCTCTGTTCAACTGCAAGATGCACACTCTTTCAATATCTCGCTTGAAGGCAATGTGGTCTTCTGCTTCCAACTTAGCTTCTGACATTGTGAACAGCTTGCCAATTGTTAATTGATCTAATGGCCCTATCTACGGAACTGAAGCTGCTGAATTATTTTTCATCACTGGAGGGAAGACTTAAATTTAACACTTCCTCCAAACACTCGGATGGAGCATCGTTCTGCGAGATAAATCAACTGACTTCAAATTCCATGAGATAAATCACTTCTAGACAAATTATCGAGCATATGGTGATCGTAATTTAATAAGTCCAAATGCATAAGAGGAGGAGGAAGAATAATACCTTCTGTTCAATGCCTTAAACACACTGTCCGCTTCGACCTTAAACGAGCATCCTTCAAGCGACTGAGAGCGAGTACGTCCGAGAGTGAGCGTCTCCATGTGAGAGGATAAGCGAGCGAGTGCTCACTCTTCAAACGAATTGATGTCTGAATTGATCATCACTCGAGCGCGCGCAAGATTTTGCTTGCTTGCTCTTCAAACGAATTGATGTCTTTGAGCGACCGCTTGCTTGCTCTTCAGACGAATTCACATATCTGAGCGACCAAACGGCCGAGCGTGAGAGCGAGCGACTTCGTGTGAGAGGATGAGCGCGCGAGATCTTCGCACGAATCGAAGCCTCTCGCTCGTGTATCGGATGAAGAAAGAAGAAAGAAGAAAGAAAACCCTAAAGAGAAAATCGTGCGAAGGAGATGAAGAAGAGAAAGCGCAGCCCAGGTGCATATATGCTTTTATTGCTGCCGTGGTGTATTTGTGCCTTAATTGCTGACGTGGAAAAGCCACGTCGGATGACTAACGGTGAGAGTGGATGGAGAGTTAACGGGGGCCAGATTTGGGACACGGTTGAAAGTTGGTGATTTTTTTTTAGACAAAATAAAGTTCGGATCAGATTTGGGACAAAACCTAAAGTTTGTGCTTTTTTTTGGAATTGGGCCGAAATGGTTAAGCAAATGATTAAATTTTCCTCATAATAACTTCATCGAGAATTGGGTAACATAAATGAGCCTTGGCAAAAATATGTAAGTTTATTCATAATCATGTTTGCATAAATGAGCTTTATCCCACAAAACAATGAAAACTTATAATGGCTTTCTTGTGTAGAAATGAAAATTCTTATCCAAAGAACAAAAGAAATAAGAGAATACTATTTCCTTACCAAAAAAAAAAAAAGAGAATACTATTTCACTAGATACCTTGCCAAAATTGACAAGGGTCAACATGCCATGTTTTTAAAACTATCATTTTGTCTTATGTACTAGAATATTAACTAATGCGTTGCTGCGGGAGCAAGAAGAATTAACAATTAAAACTTTATCAATCTTTTCGTTTCTCTAAAAATTTGATATTGCACCATGTTTAGTCTATTTTTTAATATGCAAAATACCTTTTCGAAATAAAGTTTAAATAGTTTTATATACGTATATCAAGATATTTGAGGATCCTTATTTCGATCAAGGAGAAAATAACTCCATAATTGCCTTCACATGTAAGAATACGAGTAAAATTTAGAGTTGGGAGACTTATGAAAATGATTAATTCCGAGGTCATCCATGTTTTGTGACAATAAAGCCAAAGAGATAATTTAGTGAATGATATCACATCTAAATGTTTCGATGACTCGATTAGTTAAAAAAGATAATTAATAAATTATGTTTCTCTTTTGCACATAGGGAATTCATGAACATGTAGTCATGTTCTCACGCAATCTGTTATTATGTTTACGGGGAATTAAAGAAGCCAGCTATGATTTCTGTCCCTTAGAAATTGATCGAGCAAACCGAATCTCTCAAATGCTTTTTAATGCAAGTTTTAATTCCAAAATAAATGAAATAAAAGTTTGAGAACTCAAATGCGTAAATGGCACAAGGACTCCTATTATCATTGTCTTGCTAATTGTAAATTTCAAACTACATAATCATGCAATGTGATCAGGTTAACCGCACAAACTGTGTAATCGATGTCCGATCCCAGTCGATAAAAATCTATGTATCGATACCTCGCCATACTAAGTGCATTCACTAGGAATTTCCTAACCATACTAATAGTAGGGAGCATTTTGTTGGTAGTCTCTTGGGGCGTTTTGCTCATCAACTATACAATCACTTAAATGATTTTGGGAACTGCTTTTTTTGGGAAACAGTACCAAACGCTCTTTTTCACATACTATTTTCACAAAAATGAAAACGGAAAAGGGGGGGGAATTCTCTCTGAACAAACGGGGCAACTTGCTTTGCTTTTGCCTCATAGTCAAGCCACGAGATAGGTTACTAGCTAGGGGAAGCCGTATTAATTTCGGGCATGTCAAGCTCGGAATTCGTCCATGGGACTCTTTCCAAAAGTCATATGCGACAATAGACTTCTCAAAGTCATTTGTGCCGGCCTCAAATTGAGTTTTTCATGGACAGCTACGTGTCTGTACGTTGATTCCAGAAGCAAATCTCACAAAGGCTTTTAATAATCTCAGCATTGATGTTCAGTCCCTCTCTCCATAGTTCCGTATCGCAATTGTATATCACGTGAGACTTTGAAACCATCTTGGCAGCACAAATCAACGCCGCCTTCGAAGAATCAAACCTTACAATTTTCGGGGACTTTCCTCATTTTCTCTATAGACCCTTCTATCTGGACCTCACGCATCTTTCACAACCACCAAACATTATGTTTTCCAAAAGGGACGACGCAAATAGGCGTTGCTCCCCCCTGATGTTAAAAAAAACAAAATTACTTATGCCATGTTAAGTACTCACTCATTCAAAAAAAGAATAGAAAAAAAAAAAGAAAGAATAGTGGCTTGATATGTCAGGAAATAGATTGTTTTTCCATTAGTATATGCACGAGGAACGAAATGTTGCCGCTTTAATTTTCATGTAATGCCACGAGAAGTTTCAACGTAACGTGGCCCTTAGGCCCAGACAGGAGTGACAATTTAAATTTCTTTTCTTAAAAACCGTGTCATTGCGAATGCCATTTAGGGCCCGTTTGGTAACGTGCCAAACAGTAAAAATTTTTGTTCTTTTGTTCCAGAAATAGTTTGGGAACAGAAATGCGTTTGGTAAACTTTTTGTTCCCGGGCACATTTTTGCAAAAATTTGTGCTCAGAAACAGTTTTGGAAGAGAAACAAGAAGTAAAAAAAAGTTGCTTCTTACTTCTCGGCACAATTTTGAGAATGAGTTCTTTTTCTTCTTTTTCTTTTCTTCTTTGTATTGTTCTTCCCCGGGCTGTGGCCGGTCGCCGGCGGCCGGCCGGCCGCCAGTGACCGGCCATAGCCCAGGGCGACAAGAGCGTCACGGCCCTCGCCGGCCGCCGGCGGAGACGAGGGTCCCCCTCGCCGGCGAGGGCTGGACCCTCGCCGCCTGGGCGAGGCGACTCGCCGTCGATCATGGCGATGTCGGCCTCGCCCAAATCGGGCGAGGCCGGCGGTGAGGCAAGCAGCCAGGGCGGCGGCGAGGGCCGCAACGCCCTGGCCTGTGGCCGGTCGCCGGTGCCGGCGACCAGCCATGGCCAAAGAAGGGAAAGGTAGAAAGAAAAAAAATATTAAACAATTTAAAATATTATTAAAATATTATTAATAAAAAGAAATTTTGTGTAGTTACTAAACGTATTTCTGTTCTTTTCTATCCCAGGAATAGAAATTTTGGACAGTTACCAAATGCCTTCAAATGCTCAGAAATTGTTTTCGGGCACATAATCAAAAATAATCATTTCTGAGTAGAAATAGTTTCCGGGAACAGAATGATTGTCATGCGCACCCAATAGGCTCACTGCTAAGGAGGTTGATTGAAGTGAAGTCCCAACGACTTTGGGACTGCCGTGGAGGCCTTTCACGCCACCCCAACATTTGCAAGGACCAAACGCTATCTTCCTTTCATCCCACCTAACGTTTGCACCTGCTTTGTCTTCTTATTGGGTCAATACCATTCCCACCTGCCATAATTTGATTTCCTCCCGTAAAACATGACAACAAATGAGGCTTAAGGTTTCGACTTTCGTGCATATGGAGCCGCTGTGGGCCGTTACTAGACCTGTTAAACGGGTGGGTCGGGTCGGGTTTGGGTCGGGTCATAAATGGTCCGACCCAAATTGACCCATTAACTCGTTTATGACCAATTTATTCATAATGTAACTATCTCGACCCATACCCGACCCGACCCATACCCAACCCATACTCGACCTGACGCATATTACTAAAACACTTTTATATTTAACCTAATCTAGGAATACTTGTTTCTTATGATTTTTTTTTAAAAATTATACTGCTAAAACATTTTATGCAATACAAAGCTAGTGAAATTTTTTTATAATTTTTTTTAAAATTGAGGTTCTGTTTGTTTTACGAAAAATGCGACATTTCTAGAAAATATTTTTCATAAAGTCATTATCCATGAAAATAAAAAAAAATTAATATTTTTTTATTTTTTAAATCGAATTTTTAATTATTTTTTATTTTTTTTTTTTTATTTTTCCTTTATTTTTGGCCGATCGCCGGCCGCCGTGGCCGGCGACCGACCACAGGCGAGGACGAGCTCGCCGGAGGCCGGCGAAGCTCGTTCTCGCCGATCTGGCGAGGACGAGCTCGTCGGAGGCCGGCGAAGCTCGTTCTCGCCGATCTGGCGAGGCCGAGGCCTCGCCGGCCTCAGGCGAGGCTCCAGCCTCGCCGGGATCGGGCGAGCCTCGAGGTCGCCGGAATCGGGCGAGCTCGAGGCTCGCCAGATCGGCGAGGCTCGAGCCTCGCCGGAGGCCGGCGAGCTCGAGCTTCGCCGGCCTCCGGCGAGGTCGTCCCGCCCCGGTGGCCGGTCGCCGTGGCCGACCACCGGCCGGAATAAAAAAAAAGAAAAAGAAAGAAGAGAAAAGAAAAAATAAAAAATAAAAGAAAAAGAGAAAAAATAAAAATAATTAAATTTCGATTTTTTTTAAACATCTTTGTAAAGAGGAAGAGAGTGTGTAGATGGGTCTAGTGGGTGGGTTGGACATGGGTTCCAAACTCAACCCATTTAGACCAATTTATCTTTAAGCTTTAAAATTTAAAACCCATTTAAAGTTGACTCTTTAAAATTAAGTGACCCATATATGAGCCATTTATTTTTAAATGGGTCATATATGGGTTTAAGACCCATTTTGACACCTCTAGCCGTTACTCAGGTTTTTTCTTGTTCTGTTGATCATGATTTCCTCCCTTAATTTGAGTAATGTTTCGTCTTTTTTGCAGACATTGTAATATTGATGCAGCACCACGTGACCCCCACATCAGAAAAAGATTGAAAAACAATATGAGAGAGAGAGAGAGAGAGAGAGAGAGAGAGAGAGAGAGAGAGAGAGAGAGAGAGAGAGTAACAGTCTGAATTTTCGATCCTTTTCCCAGGATTTAAGGAATGAATATTTTGACCAATGCACTTATAGTGAGATCTCATCCGGAAATGCGCATTTTCGGGATGCTAACCTTAGGGGTAGGGCGGTTACGGGATTGAGTTCGCACGACCAAAGAACTCGACCTGGGTTCGATCTTCGATCATATGGATTGACGAGGGAATGTTTTGAGCCAACCGAGACCGGTCTACTTGATTGATCGTGTCCGAAGGAAACTAGCGACAGACCCTCGCAATTATATGACAATCGAGGTCATCTCGGGTGGAGTAAACTTAAACGTGATTTGACTTAGTGTCAGTCACGGATCGAGAGCGCGTAATCCCAATGAGCCACCCGTTAGCCAGAGATA